CCGTCCCACCGCGAGCAGCGGCGCGGGGGCGGCCGAGGACACGCGGGCTCTGCGTTTAGCAGCGACTGCGATGTGGAGATACCTCATTTGCCCTCTAAACTCCAGCCCCCTTAACGAGCGTGCGAAGTATCTGAGCTCCTCTGCACCAGACCCACGTCCCCGCTGAGTGACAAGAGTGCAGATGCTCTCGCTGGTGCCAATGCTCCCGGGCAGAACCACGGTGGGAGTGAGTTGGAGGCTCGCTTGCTCTCGGAGCATCGTTTTCATTCTGGTGCATCTGGCACGGTCCGAGATGTTTTTGAATCCTTCGCATCTTATTTTTATTAGAGATGCAGAAAAACCCGTAGTGAAACCTTGGATCTAAGGCCCCTGAAACAGAAGGGGAACTTGGAACTGATATTTGCAGTCAGAGCATTGCTGGCTGCCAATCTTCCCTCTCCATGCCTCCCGGTACCTCACTATGGAGTCATCCTGTAGCTGACCGACTCCACTGCAGGAAGAAACACAGGCAAATCGCAGACTTCCCTCACTGCCTCACTGCCGGATGGACACAAGCCAGGACTTTTTTACAATTGTGCAGACAGAAAGTGCTGGCACTACAGTGCCTTTACCACGATAGAAAGCAACATGGTGAGTGCAATAAAAGCCTCTGTCACTGTGTAGATGCTGTTCTGTTAGGACTCCTCCTCTGCCTTCATATGAACAACTTCCTACCAATATAGCAATGCCCTAACCCAGACCTCTTAATCTCACTTTTCTCCAAAATAGTTAGCTATTCAAAAAAATCTGTGCACAGACCAGTCTTAGAATCAAACTTTTTATTATTCTCACGGCTTTGGGTGCGCCAGGCAAACTGGAAAGCAGTTTCTCTGACTGCCCCCCTTAAAAGCAGACACCCTGTGTAGGTTTTCCCCCTGCATACGTGAGCTACATTACTGTAGGAGCTTTCTTTCTCCTGCAGACTGAATCATTTCCCAAAAGTAGGCTTGCACAGCAGAAGACGCTGCTCTGACAGGGAGTGATGATGAGTCACCGGGAATTCACACTTTTGTGTTCCTGTGAAGGAAAAACTCACAGCGCCGAGCAAGGGGGCAACAGAGGAGATCTTGGTTTTGACAGACAGCAAGAAACAACTCCTGGAGCACGAACTGCCAGGTCCAAGCAATCTGGGGAAGGAGACGAGCCGAGTGTAATGGCCACGTGACGGTGGGGGCCACAGGGCCGGGAGATGTGGCCATGACAGGCAGCTCTTCCCGTGGCGTGGTCCTTGCGAGGGGGCCATAGCCTCGTCGGGCTCCTCCCGAATCCGCTCCTGGATGAATGAACTCCCTGCAGAAATGCATGCAGCCCGTCCAGGATCTGCAGCGCTATGCTGAAGGTCGGAGGGGTAAACTGGACGTGCCAGGCCGAGCAGGGGAGGGCCACGAAGCAGATGTGGTGTGCGCACAGGAGCAGGGCAGCCGCCACCAGGCCTCAGCTCAGCCCCACGACCCGCCGGCGGCAGCAGGGCAGGGCAGGGCACAC